CGATAAAAGCACGCTGGGTTATCCTCGCGTCAATTAGCGCGATCGTACACCAAGAGAATTTCGTTGTGTCCCCACGGCGAGCCCGATTCGCGCCTCGAGGAAGCGTCATTGCCGCATTACGGCCGAGTAATCTCCTTTATCGTGTCCCGATCCCGATTAATTTAAAAATATGCACGCGTTAACGACGCGTACGGTATATCGCGAGCAACGACATTACGCGCTCAAGGAGATGCGAGGAGGCGCGTAAAAGGATGATGAGAGAGAAGGGAAAGAAGGAGAAGGTGGCGAGTGGAACCAGTCGGCTCGCGAGATCCTGCGAAGGACATCCGCGTGTTGGAAGTTGGAACCCTACGCACGGATGTTACCACGCCGGCTGTAACTCCTTGCTCCTCTTCCCTCTCTCCCCCTCCCTCCTTTCCTCTCTTCCTCTGTAACAACAAGGAGGAGAAAGATCGCGGATAGAGGAGGGATCTCGCGCGCGTGAAGTCAGCTTTACGACAATATAATTTTGGAAGCGACACACGGACGGCGTGGAATGCGACGATCGGAGTCAACGAACGGCATATAGAAGTCTTCGATACGTCGTAAATGGTCCCCGTCCTTCTCCCGACTCGTCGTTGCGCTTCTGATCGTACACGGATCTTCCTCTTCTCGTGGTCGAAGAAGTTTATATAGGGTGTTTCGTGAATATCAGCGACTTCGAATGACAACTTGTCCATTGAGACAAGTTGATTGTAATAAAGCTTGTTATCGCGAGAGCGATTATAGCACAATTACAGAGCCGTTTAACAAATTAAAGACGGAAAGATCAAAGACGGAAAAAACCTTCTCAGTAATGACTTCAGATATAAATGATCTATTTCAAATGAACTTTCAAGATATTTTTGTTTGAGATTTAATTATCAAGATACTGTTGAGATCTGAAGAACTGCGAAAGAAAATGTCCAACAAAATTTGTTATAGAAGAACTATCTTCAAATTCATGGATATTTCTAGGAAAGGAATGAATTGACGAAGAAATTCTACAAATTCTACAAACACCCTGTGGGTTGTCACGTGCACGTTGAACTGTCTACGGGCAACGAAAAATCGACGTCGTCGCATCCCAAAAACGCCAACGACGTAGTTGGCCGGCGTTTATCTAGCAAATAGAGCCCGCGGTAACTCTATGTTATATGGCTGATCGAGGAAACCGGTGAAGAAGGCCAAGACGGTACCTCCGTGATGGCCGGCGTCTTCAAGATACATCCATAAATTTTGGCGCACCAAATACTCCCCGAGAATAGCTTCGACTGCATAGGTTGGATCAATAACCGCATAAAGTGCGGGAAGAAAGAGCGCAGCGGCACGTATTCGCAGTATTCGGTCTCGGAGCGTGAACGTGCGTGGACTGGGAAGAAACCCATGGAGATCGGAGTAAAATAGAACCTCGCGATCACGTCGCTGTGTTTTTCCTCGTGCATCAGGAACAACGCGCGAGGCAGCCTCACGCACTTTTTGTTCCGCCTTCACGGATATGATCAAAAGTGCATATGAAATTGTTGCCAAATTTTCGCGATACGTGACGACAGATGGCCAGTGCACGTATTCTTTATCTTTTTTAATAACAATGTAAATCGATATCGTTATTTAGTCATATTATACATGGTAAAAAAATTGCGCAATGACAATATAATGATAAATTGTCGTTTAGAATTACAAGCACGGTGAGAGATGACAATGTTAGAAAAGAATTCACTCAATCACATAAATCCATATCATTATTTAGAGAAAATTTCTTGATGACTTTTTTCTCTTTTCATAATTCCGTAATTATAAATTCACATCGCCTTCAAATTGTAAAAAGTGGCAAACATTTCAGTATTCACGTTTATATTTAAAATTTGAATGTTTTAAGAGTATCTCAAAGAAACGATTTACAAAGAGTCAAACCACTGATCTTCCTTATATTATTAAATTCCAAGCGTACTAACATAGGAACGAAGGAAGGCTGCTCTTAGATAAAGCAACAATAAGATATAAACGGTACATTACCGGAGTGAAATGGATGGAACTATAAAAATTGGAACAGGACAAACGTCCTATAAAGTATTCTTTTACTTTCGGTGCGTTTCTCGCGATAAAATCGCGGCCAACTCTTCGGCAAGTCTTGTTTGAAACCGAGAAGAAACTGATGGTCCGTAAAGAGCGCGTTGCGGACGGTTCATCTTGGACGTTCCGATTATATCGAGTGGATCTGTGCTCGCGCCCGAAGCGCTGCCAAAGGGACTGCTTCAAAAAGAGAAAGAGAGAGAGAGAGAGAGAGAGAGAGAGAGAGAGAGAGGGAGGC